CGCTATCCAACCACCTTATTAGTGTGCTGTTCCTCTATACAAAGATATGGTTTACAGAGAGATGAAAAGAGAGGAAAAGGAAGAGGAAAAAAGAAAAAAAGGAACAATACAGTAGGAATAGAATTAAGTCATTAAACTAACAGAATCAACAAAGCATACTCTGAGACATTTTGTTTAAGTTCAATGTCCTTTCAGGTCTGATTTCTAGTTTTCTTTTCAAGCTGGTAAATTAGTTTGCAGTTAGGGTCAGTTGCCCCTGGTCTGCTGTGAAGGACAGTTCAGATCACCCTCTGTTCACCACTCTGGCCTATGTCTTTATCAAGCTTGTTTCTCCCGGTTCGGTGTTGTTGCCTTGAATCGCCAGCAGTTGGTGCTATCTCAGCTGCTCGCCCCAGAGGGGGTGGGGCCCGACAGGGCCGGCAGAGGCTAAAGATGGCAAGATGGCTGCCTGCCTCTGGGCAGACGGTAGGAGACTTACGGTGGGCAGGACATCTCGGTCGGAGGAGAGGTGGCAGCGATCCCAGCAGATCTTCCCTGAAGGGGCTTCAAGGACTGAAGTTGTGGATCGCCTCTGGCCTGGGTGGTGTGATGTGCTACTGGTGGCGGTGGCGGTGGCTGTGGTGGCTGCGGCGTCTGTGGCGTCTGCGCTGCAGTGGCTGTCCAGATCGCTGTGATGTCCCAGCGGTGGCAACGGCCGAGCTCTGCATGTAGAGCAGGCTGCGATGTTGGGGTCCGTATCCCCCAGGGCGAGAGTCAGAGACCCACTGCAGTTCTTCTTTGCAGAGGTTTTCACAGACCGGGTTGCCCTGTCACCATCTTGCCGCAAGTCCTCCTAATTTCTTCTAACCAGCTGAGACACCATGGCCAAGAAGCGAATTGCTGTGATTGGAGCTGGAATTAGTGGACTGGGTGCTACTAAGTGCTGCTTAGATGAAGATCTGGAGCCCACCTGTTTTGAAAGAAGAGATGATATTGGAGGTCTCTGGAAATTTCAAGTAAGTTTGGATTTTATTTGGTTTTAAGTATGTAAGTTTTTAAAATAGCTATAACAATTTGATGATCGTTTTCTCAGAAGGAACATATAACACAGCGTGTTTTTAAAAATTATATAGCAACCCTTATCTTCTTGATTGCATTACTGGATTGAGGAAATATATGTCAATTTCAGATTTAGGCATGACATTTATGAGATTCTATTTAGGGTAGCTGAGGTCCAGTGTGATCATCAAAATATTAGAAAGGTATGTTGACTGAGAATTCTTTTACTTTACCAGATGATGTTGTACTCAAGTTTAAAGATGTCAAGTTTAGATTTTTTTTTTCCCTTACTTAGCATGGATATAGGATAGGGTAGAATGGGTCTATTGCTGGGGAATTCTTCCATGCAACCTCATATTCTCTTCTGTAGTCACACTTACAGACTGGCTGACCCCTTTCTTATTTATCAAAGAACAATGACTTTATCTCTCAGCTCTTGATAGCAAGAGATTTATTGCCAAATATTGAAAAGGCTTAAGTTCCTTCATTTGGAGCTTCACTCTGCCATCATTAGACATGCTCTTAAAGTCCAGCACTTCTGATCAATATTTTCCAGTTCTGATAACCCCAGAGAGCCACTCGGCTTACCAGTCATAGCTGGTATTCTCATGGGTATACATGAATGAGTGAATTTTCTTCTCGCTCCTGGTTTTTGTCCCCATCCAGGTTGTGTTTCAAGAACCAGAATGTGAGGCCTCTCTATGCCTATGAGTAATCATCATCACTGTCCCACAGAGACATTCCTTTGGTGCCTCTGGAGCAAACAAGTGTCTAAAGAACATTCTTAATAGCCCTCAGATACACCCTCCAACCTGCTGTTAGGGCCATTCAGATATCTTTCTGTAACCTATGGGTATTTCTATAGCTTCAAGTGACATTCTGTTCTAAATAGTCTATAATATCAATTTTGTTTATTCTTTCATTCAAGAGATTAACCATTCATTTAATAAATATTTTGAGCCCTTACTCTGTATCAGGCACCTTTGTAGGTGCCAGGGAGTAAATTCAAATACAAAAATCTTAGCTGTTAGAGAGCTTACATTCTAATGGGAAAGAAGAATAAAATAAATACTATGGTTGACAATGGTAAGTATAGTAGAGAAAATAAAGGAGGAAATGAGGAAAATTTTGAGAATATAATTTAAGTAAGGAGTCATGGAGAGCCTTAATGACAAGTGATTTTTTTTTTTGACAAAGAATTGAGATGTTAAAAAAAAACGGGGAAGATATCAGGGAAAAGAGGTTCAAAGGGATCTTCAAGAGCAAAGCTATGAGGTGAAATATGTTGGGAAGACCTTGGTGCAATTATGGCTTGGATTGTAGTGATCAAGGGGGAGAAGTCTAGGAGATGGTCATAGGTGTAACAGGAGACCAGATCATATTAGAGCTTGTAGACTGTGGTAAGGACTTACATACAGACTAAAATCCACTAGAGGGTTTTAAACTGAGGAACAATGTCCTCTAATCCGTGTTTTGAAGACTATTGCTCTGCTGAGAACAGACGGAACAGCGGAAGGGCCAAAGAAGTCTATCCAATTTCAAAACTACTTAATAATAATGCAGATGTGAGATCATAGTGAATTGTACTAGGATTCTAGATATATGGATTTCAAAAATGTTACATTTCCTTATTATGTATGTTGATTTTTTAAAATTTTTGTTGCATTTCTATCACAGATATAAAGACTTGTTGATAAGTGTTTAAATGTTTATGCCAGTTATATCTTCTCAAGAAATAGTTCCTTTTATTAATATGAAATATCTTTTTGTTCCTATACCTTTAATTATACTGTGTTTGTATTAATATTACTAAGTAGCTCTCTTTTTGTTAGGACTTGATAAACATATTTTTTCCATCACTTGATTTTCCATTTAACTATCATTTTGTTTTAGATTTGTCTCCATAAAACCTGATTTTATCTTATTGTCCAAGAAAGATCTTTTGTCTTTTTTTATTTAAAATATTATGCTGAGGTATAATGTATTCATTAAGGTATATAATGTATACTCATCTTAAACATACAGCTTAGTAATTGTTATAAACATATACATTTATGAAACTACTGTTCAAATCAAATAGAATCATAGACTATTTCCAGAATCATAGAAGGTACCCGTGTATTTCCTTCCAGTTAATACTTAGACATCTTGAAGGGCACACACTCTTTTGATTTCTGTCACCACTAATTATTTTTGTTGATTCATACTTTTATATTCTTTTTTGTACATTTTTCACTTATAATTTATGTAGTTGAAATTCATTCAGACTGGGCATGCAGCAGTAGTTCATGTTTATTTTCTATTGATATAGAATTTTCTAGCATCCGAATATGCTAAAATGTACTCATTCATTCTCCTGTTGATGAATTTTGGATTGTTTTTACTATGTGGCTTTATGTCTGGTTTCTTCACTCTTCATTTGTGTATGCCAAATCCATTCATGATATGAGAATAGCAGTAAATCATTTAGAAATTATTATTGCTGTATAGTAGTCCATTGTATGAACATACCACAGTTTATTTATTCATTCTTTTGTCGGTAGACATTTGGATAGTGTTCACTATTTGGCAATTATGAACATTCTTGCACATGTCTTTTGGTAGATATGCATTCATTTCTGCTGAGTAAAATTCTTTTTCAAACTTTAAGCATATGTTTAGTATCAGAATATACTGCCAAGCAGTGCAATAAAATGAATGTATCAATTTACATTTCCACCAGTAATGTATGAGTGTTTCACTTGTTCCATATCCTTCCAAACACTTAGTATTGTTAGTCTTTTTATTTTGGCCATTCTGAAGGGTGTTCAGTGGTATTGATTGCAGTTTTGCTTTGCATTTCTTTCATGGATAGGGATGTTGAACATCTTTTAGTATGCTTACTGGCAATTTGGATATTCTAAGTGTGAAAAAACTTGTTCATTTTAAATCTAAGCTATTTTTTGGTAAAAACTTTTATTTTTGTATTTTGTATTTTGTATTTTTGTATTTTATTGTGAGTATATTTTACCAGCATATAGTATGTT